AAAAAAAAAAAGATTACAGTCTGGAAATTGGGTTGTGTTCTGTTTTATTCCAAGTCTCGGTACCTATTATATATACTTTGTGTGTCATTGCTCATCTTCGTCAATGACTAGATTCAGTTAATAAGAACTATTAATAATATTTCTAGTGAAATGTTGTTTCTTAAAAAACAATAATAACCTGAATTCATTTGTATTTAAAGAAATGGGCCAGGCACAGTGTCTCACGCCTGTAATCCCAGCACTTTGGGAGGCCAAGGTGGGAGGATCCCTTGGGGCCAGGAATTCTAGACCACCCTGGGCAACATAGCGAGACCTCGTCTCTACAGAAAATAAGAAAAATTACCTGGGCATGGTGGTGTATGCCTATAGTCCCAGCTGCTGGGGAGGCTGAGACAGGGTTGCTTGAGCCCAGGAGTTCAAGGCTACAGTGAGCTATGATCCTGCCACTGCATTCCAGCCTGGGCGATAGAGTGAGACCCTGTCTCTAAATAAATAAATAATCAATACAAGTGAAATACTTCACAAGAATGATTAAGGGCAGTAAAGAAAACTATAAAGGGCCAAGTCAGCGGGACAGATTCTACTTATATTTGTCTTTTATTTATTCTGTATAAGAGTAAACATTTCTTATCCCAGCTGTGGTGTGGCTGTCATTAAAAAGATTTTGATGTTCAGAAACAAGTTCATTTAGAGTTTTAAAATTTTCTTCCTTCAAAAACATTGGGTGATTTTGTGCTGTATACCAGGCATAGATGAGGTGCAGAGTATTCAAAGATGAATATGACAAAATTCCTGCCCATGAAGTTCAAGTTTGATTAGGGTGGAGATTGATTAAGGTACAGAAAGACAAGTAAACAAATGAATACATGGTAAATACAGTAGTAAAGATATACAAAGTATATGTAGTAATATTACAGAGAAGGGAACAGGGAAGAATTCAGAAAGGAAGGATTAAAGGAGCTTTTGAGAGTGTTCCAAGTAGAAAAGGATACTCCATGTAGTAGGAATCCCATTTTCAGAGGCACAAAGAAAGACTTTACCTAAGATAGTTGTTACCAAGCAGTTAGCACAATTGTCAGGCCTCAGGTGAGGGTGAACACGCTGGCTTTTATGGTTTCTCCTAAATTTTCTTATTTTCTCCAGTCTTAATTTGAAATAAAAACAATTGCCACCAGTTTGGTAATTCATGCACAGAGTATTTTTGGGGCAAGTGGGGTAATTTGTCTTTTAGGTAAATTAGACCTACGTTCTGTGCAATTTGTACTTCTTTATAGTAAGACTTGGAAATAAGTGCTTCACACTTTTTTAATCTATAAAAAATAAGTGAAAATTGTTAAACTATCACATAAGATTAGCTAGTCTTTGGGATGAAATTAAAATTCCAATCTATTTTCTTATTGTTATTTCAAATGTTAATTTAATTGCTATTTAAAAGGTAGGTCGTTTATATACTAATAGTGATAGAGGAGAATAGTATTAGAATGGAAAAAACAAAATGCAGAAATTTAAAAATCTATATACTATCCCCACCCCAACTTTAATCAAACTTGCTAAAACAACACATTTTATGAGTTTGTTTTATTTACATTTTCACCTTTTTCAGGGCTTTTTAAGGGTAGATGAAAAGATTTATAAAGACCATAAGGGAAGATAAATGTCTGCAAAAGCATATATAATCCGTAAATGGGAAAATAGGTTCCTAGAATAAGCAAGATTATTAATGAAAAGCACCACTTTGAAAGAATTTTTGAAGTCCTAACTCAGGTCATAGGTATCAGAATTAATCAGCCCCTTCCTCTTTCTTTTTTTTTTTTTTAATTTTAAGACCACTAGTATAGCACTAGTTCAAGGTAATTTTCCCTTTCCATTTTGTATGAGGTAGTTCAATAGGAATGTGAGCTGATATTTTTTTTACAAAGTCCTACATTACTATAATGACTTCCTCATTTTTTATGTATTTTTTTAATATGTAAACCTTTGTAGGATAAGACTTGATAATAAACATTGAAGATACTTATAAAATGCTACAACTTACAAATTAGATATCATATCATACGACAATTGAGTGTAGGTGTGCGTGTGCATGTGTGTGTGTGTGTGTGTGTGTGTGCGTGTGTGTGTGTGTTTTGGTCTTCCTAACTCCCTTGGTTTATTAGGAAGTACCGAAGCTGTTTCTTCTACCTCTTTTCTTTCCTCTGTACAGGTGAGTTTGAAAAACAAGAGAGAACTAAACTATTCTCACTTCTCGGGCCCAACAATATAGAATTGGAAATGGCTAGATTAGGTATTAATGCCTAACTTCTGGTTTTCATTTTACTTTTCCTAGAAATACAATTCGATAAGAAATAAATATATAGGGTAAGGTAGATTACGTTTAAACTTTTATATTTATATTTAGCTTCACGTACTTAAAAGGGATGTGATAATATTCTCTCCCTTTTTTTGTCAGTTAGCCAACATAGATTTATTTTATATAAGTTTTTCTTTTTTAATCACAAAGGTAAAATTTCACATGATATTTATGTAAGTTTATGGTTCTTTTCCTTACTGTTGAAATTTTTTTAAATACATGTTTTTTGTGAATGTTGTTGATGTAAAAAGAGGTTACCATATTTCTTTTTTCTTAATTTGCTAGGATTGAATTGATACACCACATGATAGGAATATATGAGTTAATATGGGGATTTGAGGATTTTTTAAACTATGCTTTGCTTACAGTTCTGAATATTTAGTTCCTTTTCATAATAAAGGGGAATAATTTTAGGATGTGAATCTTGTTTTATTCTAAGTTGAGGGCTTATATAATTTTACTCTTCAGTAACTGATATTGATAGCTTTTTGGAGTTTCTTTGAACTGTGGAGAAAGGTAGGACTTTATACATTGGACTTGTGATAAAAGGCCATGATTTCAAATTGCAGGCATTTCCTTATGTCCCAAATCATATACTGTATTTAATCTAAGACTTTTGTACAGAAGTTTCAGCCTTAAAACTTTTTTCCTCACTCAAAATCAAATAAATAATCATACCTGATATTAGGATTAGAACTACTAAAAAATTTATAGCTTTTAGGAAGTGTTATTGTTACTTGAAAACTGTTTACGTATTACTATAGTAGTCCCTCTTCTCCCTTTAATGGTTTTGATTTCTGAAGTTACAGTTAACAGCGGTCAACTGCAGTCCAAAAAGTATTTAATTTAACCATTCCCCTATTAGTAGATACTGAGATTGTTTCTAAGTTTGCTATGATATAAACATTGAATTTTCAGAGATTGAGAATGATGTTCAGGCAAGGGAAGTACATACTAATTCATAAAAGTGCAAAGGAGACACCAGGGCATAAAATATGAATAGACAGATTAATTCTGGTACTATGTTTCAATGCTGTGGGGCATATGATAAAGCTAGGTGTAATGTACAGAGCAAAGAACTCAAATACTTTCAAAAACAAAAATAAAAATTATCTGCCCATGTTCTGGCAACATAAATCAGAAAGCATGGGTGACAGCCATTTTGTTTATGAAATGGTTCCAGCAGTGCTTCATTTCCAGTATACAGATTTGGTACTATCCATGGTTTCAGGCACCTGCTGGTGTTTTGGAATGTATCCCCTGAGGATAAGGGGGGGACTACTTATATCCTCAAATATTTGATAGTTAAATAAAGCCCTTTCAGTAGTTTTTCATAGTTATGTATATTCGTCTTTCTTCCTATTAAATATTTAAGATTGTTTAGATTAAATTGTGTATATTGACAAAAATTAAACAATTTAGACAAGATTGAAAACATAGTAAATATACATAATATGTGTTTAAAACAAATTGATCACATTATAGTTTTGCCTTAATTAAGTTACTACAAATACAATGAGGTCTTGCCTCTTACATTTTTTTTCTTTTTCATGTTTTAAGCAGTCTGGACCGAAAAGAAAGGTAAGCTTAATATTGATGAAATTAGAGCATGAATAAGCAGTTAAATATCAAGCTATTTATATGCTTTGAAAAATATCCATTGAATTAGAGTTCATCATTACAGCTTATTAATTTAAATTTTTTTCCTTTTATTCTTAGTTGACACATAATAATTGTGCATATTTATGGGATACAGAGTTATATTTCAATGTGTATACAATGTTTAATGACCAAATCAGGGTAATTAGCATATCTATCACCTCAAACATTTATCTTCTCTTTTGTGTTGTGAACTTCAAAATCCTCTCTAGTAGCTCTTTGAAAATATATAATAAATTATAGTTAACCATATTCACCCTACAGTGCTGCAAAACACCAGAACTCATTTCTCCTATCTAGCTATAATTTTGTATTTATTTGTTAACTAACAATCTCCCTATTCTCCCCTCTCCCCACCCTTACTATCCTCTAATACCAACAATTCTCTCTATAATGAAAGAAAACTTGTTAAGAGTACAACAATATTTGTTTTATATAGATGATGTTTCAGCATCATTCTCAATATACATTTTTCTATGAATGATTATTATATATTTATGCTGATATGTGACTACTTTCTTTTAAAAATAGAATATTACAATGCCTTAGTAGTAAAGTTGCTTTCAGGTACATCACAAAGTATTTGTTCTTATATTTTAGTGACAACACTCCTGTTTTTACATTTTAGTAGATTGGGGGGAGGGAGGGAGAAATGGAATTAAAACACCTTAAGCTTGAAGTTAGAACTTTAAACATCAAATGTATTCTATTCTGACCCAAAACTTCGTAACAGAATTTTGTGACCAACTTTCTTCTATCACTGTTTGTTCCTCTTGTAAGAACATTGACAGATACATATTCTTTTAGGAGAAATCTGAATAATGTAAATACCATGAAAAAGGTTTTAAGAATATACATTTCTTTGAATAGTGAAATAGTTTTAATTGTTTTAATGCAAGTGTCTGTAAGAGTAGCTTCTCTCTCCTAGAGATATGTATACAGAATTTTTTTGTGCATGTGTGTTTTTTTTCTTGCTTTGATGAGATTCTCAAAAGTCCTTTAAGAAAACTCCTCACTCTCCCTCCAAACAGTTTAAGAGCCTTTGTATTAAAGCAATACTTTCATGTAATTTGTGAGTGTCAAAACAAGGGACATTCCATAATTTTAATTCTTTAACTCTGTAATTTTATTTAAAGGTATAAAGGAGGTAGAGAGGACAACCTGCAATATTTTATAAAATGCATGTGTTCCACATTACTTCATGAACACCAAGTTTCTGAAATACAAATTTCAAGGTGATCCTTCCAGCAAAAGATTTAAGCATATTTTATAATTGTCAAATACTTTACAAGTCTTACATGTTTTAAATGAATGGGTTGTGCAAATATTTTACTTACCTATTTCCTAGGAAAAAAGTATTTTCCCATTGTGTCAGTTTATTTCTTTGAGTAAATCATTATTTCTTGCCAGATATAGATGATTCCTTTTATATATTTTTAATTTATAACTTCTAAGGGACTATTTTTTTTTAGTAAGGTCATTTATAAGACACTTTAATAACATTTCCAGAAATATATATTAAATAATTCTTCGTAAAATCACACATATGAAACAGACTCTTGGTTTAGCCAAATAAACACATTCTTTCCTGTATGTTATTATAATTAAAATGTAGGTACAGTTATATTACCAGAATAATAGATTTTAAATTATTTTTTTTTTACCATAGCCTGGGAGGATTTGTGGGTTTTCTACTGTTTTGACTTCTTGTGCCTGTTTCTGTGGTGGGAATGTATTCATTGATACATTCAGCAAATATTTAAATGACCGTATGAGCCAGGCACTTTTCTAGAGGCAGATAAACATACCTGCAACCTTGGAGCTTACGTTCTTGTTGGAATAATACTGCAACAGGAGTCAGATACACAATTAAATAACCAACATAACCATTAGGCACATTATTTGCTATGAAATGGGAATAATAGATTTGTCCAATTTTAAAAGAGTTTTGTGAGGAACAAATGAGATAATTATTTAAAACTGACTTATACATTATAACAAATTTGAAATTTCTGAACATTTAATAGTAATAGATATTAGAATTCTTTCAGTCTTTTGTGCTAAGAATTACATCAAGGGACTCTAAAGCTCTTGAAAACTAAATGTCAAGCAGCAACTGTTTATAAAAGACGTTGTAGCAAATATAACCGAGTGCTTTATTCAGCAACTTAGTTACTGTTAGGCTGAATTTAGCCCATAATCTTTTGGATACCTACCTAAAATCATTTTGTGTTTATCTTTATCAGAGATAACAGAACTTTTGTGTTATCAGTAGATTTTACTTGGTACATTTTTTTTTTAAATAGTCTTTTCTTTCTTGTGAATGGTAAACTATATCTTTTTTCTGGTCTTCGAAGAGTAATAGAAGATGTTTTTTCTTTATCCCTTACCACGTGAGGGATAATAAATAAATGATTTATTTATAGGAGAATGATTTATCTAATAAGAGCTAGGTAGTTGTAGAAGGTTAATCTCTTCCAGGTTTTTTCCACTTGTACTATATACTAAGTACATCGATGTATGTTTTATGCTTAAAACCTAACTAAAATAAATAAAAAACAATATTAAGATGCAGAACTTGCAGACTTAAAAAAAAATTGCTGCCAATTCTATGTTGTGGGCAACTGACAACTTGTATGACTTAAATTCCTTTCTGACTCATGGCCACATGAGTTATAAATACGGTGTGTGTGTGGTAGCACCAGTAACCTGAAATATTTAATCTGGTGTTTGAACTGCCTTTTTTTCCTCTCCCTGATGAAGAATCTGTTGACCTATTATAGGACTGAAGCACATAGTGGCTTTTGAATTTAAAACATTTTTTAAGTATTTTTTTAATTGCAAAACGTATGTACATGTTGTAGAGAATTTTGAAATAAAAAAGGCAGGAAGGTGAAAAGAATACAATAAAAACATGAAATACTAGAAATGCTTACTTACAGGGTGTGTGTGAAAAGACAAGTATAGTTACAGAATTTATAATTTTTTAAAGTTCTCATAATAGAAAATTACATTGTTAGGATTTTGATACGTTTCTTTCTGATCTTTTTTTTAATGTACTTTTTAATATATTTAACATATGCGAAGTCATAATGAAAATGAAGCTGTGTATTCTGAATTTTCACCTAACACTTCCTGAGCATTTTTTCTTGTCATTAAGTTGGCTTCTAAAGAATAATTTTTTTTTTTTTTTTTTTTTTTTTTTTGAGACAGTCTTACTCTGTTGCCTGGGCTAGAGTGTCGTGGCGTCAGCCTCGCTCACAGTAACCTCAAACTCCTGGGCTTAAGCGATCCTTCTGCCTCAGCCTCCTGAGTAGCTGAGACTACAGGCATGCGCCACCATGCCCGGCTAATTTTTTCTATATATTTTTAGCTGTCCAAGTAATTTCTTTCTATTTTTTAGTAGAGACGGGGTCTCGCTCTTGCTCAGGCTGATCTCGAACTCCTGAGCTCAAATGATCTGCCTGCCTCGGCCTCCCAGAGTGCTAGGATTACAGGCGTGAGCCACTGTGCCCAGCCCTAAAGAATAATTTTTAAAGACTATATAATAACTTGTCCTGGAGATACATATAACTTATTTACCCATTAGCCCATTTCTGATTGTTTTTTTTTACTATTTTATATATATAACATTGATGAAAAACTTTGTTTGCATCTCTTAGAATAAGTCTCTGGAAAAGGATTTTCTTACCAAGAATCCAAATGTTTTTAATGCTTTTGATAAGTACTGCTAAATTGTTTTTCAGAGATTTGGAACTCATTCATAATGGCAACATAAATTGCTATCTGAAGTATCTGAAAATAAAATTGTATTCGGATGATAACTATCTTCTTTGGAATAAGAGTTGTCTGAACTCTTAGAAATAATGAGTGGAGCAAGATGACAGGCTATAAGACTAATAATAATAATTTGAACTCTAATCAATTGAGATATATATTGGAGAGGCCACAATATTCACAGTAGCAACTAAAAGTAAATAGTAATAAAATTAATAATGAGTAATCCCTTATAAATGTATCAAAGAACCTAATCTGAGGCATATATCATGTTCCCTGTTGGTATAAGACTTTGTTATTCGATGCCTGTGCTCCTTAAGAGAAAGTGAATTTAATGTAATTCTAGTCAGAATCTCAGTGAGTTTATTGTTATTTTAAGAAATTTAACAAATTGATTCTAAAGTTCATTTAGAATAGTATTTGAGAAGAGTAATAGACTTATCTTTTTTTAACCAAGAATAAATGAGGGAAGAGAAGAATAACTCATCTTGCCACATAATAAAACCTACTATAAAGAAAATAGTGATGACACATGGAAACACTAGGAAAAGATTAGACAGTAAGATAGTAAACAAATTAGAAAGTCCAGGTGTATTCAGTTTCCAACCAACCTGTCCAATAAATAAGAACAAGTCTATAGTGCTTTTAAATGCTTGAATTTTGATATTTGTACATTGGCTGACAAAATTTTGGATTACTATATGATGGTTCTGCATGGTGGCCAGTGGTTCAGTTTTGGCAGCATTACCATCCTTGGTAATGACATTGAATATCTGTGCAATTGTTTGAAATGATAAATATACTTCTCATTACATACTGCTTTTTGGTATACATTTTTACTTATTCCAAGTGTTTACTGAGCCTACTGTGTTCTAGACATAATTGATACAGTGATTAACAAAACAGACAAGATCCCTGTACTTCTATAGTTTACATTCTGATGGGGCAAAGACTAATAATTAGCAAGTAAAACATGAAATAGTAAGTTCTATGGAGAGAAGTATAATTGGATGATGTGATAGAGTGACAATATGGTGTCTTTAGATTATTTGTTCAGGGAAACTCTTTACTAAGAAGCTAACGTTTAATCAAGGACTAAATGAGAAGAAGTCTACAGTGCCCTGATCATAAGAGTGGCTTTCCCA